AGCACAAAGTATTTCAATAAGTTTCCATTTTTTACTTCTTGGTCGGCCTTGATGATAAATATTGAGTGGTAGTCAGTTTAAAGTTAGCATTCCAGTAAATCAACATTTAAATAATATACTTGCTTTTCGCCTCATAATGCCAACAACCACAATATCTCTGATTGGGTGTTTTGTAACTTGTACAACAAAAGGTTGTACACTTTCCAGAAAACGCAATTGAATAGGTTATAAGATTAATAACCTAAAGCATGAGTGCAGTCTATGTTTATCGAAAAATTTTCGTTTTAAAGGAAATTATTTGTTTTCGATTTGCGTATTTGGGTTTGATTCTTCAAAGACAAAATATTCTAATAAACGAAAGAATGAACGAACTAAATAGTTACACATGAACAAGGAATAAACTATAATATTTAATAGAGTTGTATACACTTTTAATAGTAGCAATAATCATCGAATTAACAATGCTCCTACTAATACTACTATTACTACTGCCATTACCATTATTATTATTAACAATAATAATATTAATTAAATATAATGCAAAATTATAGATGAATCTTGCCATTTTTCTATCAATGATTAATCAAGGAAGTTAATTTACTAGTCATCAGTGATGGCGTCCAGAAAGTTTTCTGTATTTTTTTCCAGCTTCCTTTTATTTCTTCTTCGCCTCCTTTGACCAGTTAATCTCTCTTCTTTCATTCAATACTGTTCTCTTCTTTAGTATGCATCTATTATAAAATAGATACAGATGAACAGAATAAGAGAGGGAAAAAAAGACCACCATTGAATTGTGTATACTTTTATTTGTTCCCTATCTTAGTGCTTTATTTAAAAAACTTGTCATTTTATCCATCTACGCTGTTATGTATGTATGTGGATATGTTCATTAGTGAAGGAGTATGTGTGCACATATTGTTGCGGCATCAACCGTAATAGCAGTATTAGTACGGATGGTAGGAAAACATCGCGGTGGGTGAAGTCTAACCACTTTTATTAAGAGCAGTTGTCTTTTTTAAACATTGAATATTACAAACAATAAAAATAACTATAACATTTGTATTGGTAGTAGCCGTATTATATATATATATATATATATATATATATATATATCGTATGAGTCAAATATGTAAGCGGAAAATCATTCGAAGTTTATTTCAGTTGTAGTATTGTTAAGTCAGTAGATCATTGAATGTATGTTATTCTTAATTCAATGATCTCCATAAACTGCTTATTAATACATCTGTTTATTCTTTATTAACAACCTGTAACTGTGTAGATAATAGGCAGAAGTAACAACTTGGTAATAATTCGTTGAAAAGCGATCCCTTCACTGAACTTTGTGTTTCTTAATGTTTAAATGGGAATTATCTGTCAACATTACATTAAGTTTTCGGTTAGTTATCAATATAGGATTGTGGAGATTGTTGAGTTTTTCCAGTTAATCTGTTATATATATATATATATATATATATATATATATATATATATATATATATTGGTGTGTATTACTCTGTTTTTCTGCATATTATATGGTTTGTCAGCGAATGAAACTTCTGACAATTTGCTGATTGATTGTTTGGACATTGTTTGTTTTGTTTTCTTTCCTTTTTCTCCTAGATATTGATTAATAATCTTTTTTTATAATTAATTAGAAAAGTTTTATCGGTATAAAATTTTTGAGTGAATAATTATTCACAACTTCTAGTACATTCTCAGATATTGTTTCCTATATAACCTTAGAGAACATACGATGAAATTAATAGAACATTACATATCTCTTCTTGTTTATTTTTCTTTTAACTCTGAATCTTTTTAGTGTTTTACACTATTTATCTCTTGTCGTCGAGCTAATCAACACTGGATAAGGCATAGGAATATATATATATATATATCCTACATAACTGCACCATTTTATAATAATTTATGAACTAATCCATGTTGAACACTTGAAAATGCTCAACATACAACTGACTATATTATATTGAATAAAACAATTATTATCATTATAAGCAAAGATGGACAATGTCTAGCAGTAGAATCCAGGATGCGCATTTTTCGTCCTGTTCGGGACCCATCAGCTGGATGTACCTGCATCTCAAAGTTGATATTCACTCTGGGACTTGAACCCAATATCGCTTTAAACGTCATAGCTACCGAGTCCTGATAGCCACTTGCTTATGCAATGGGGTGAAGTTTGAATTCATCTTGTGACTTAAGGCAGTATTGAGGCAATACGCAAAATATGGACATATGCCAATAAGATACTGATCAATTGCAGTCGTAAACATTAATGAGAAGATATAAGTAAACAATACCAAGTGAATTTAATTACTATCATTCTCGTGCGCGTGAATGATAGGTCTTGGGTTCGAATCTCGTGAGGTGGGATCGTGGATGTGCCCTACTGATGAGTCCTATATTTTACGAGTTAAATATAGTATCAGTTTAATGTTAAATTTAATTGAGATCATGAACTGATCAAATTTAGACAATCATTAAAAACCTGGCAACATTTGATTAATGTTTCATCCTTTAATCTGTTGATAATTTCAATAAAGTTTAATCTCCATAACCTTGTATTATATTTATTAAAATGTTTTTAAATGAGGTCATCATGGAAGATGATATAGGATGGAAAAAAATAAACAACAAGTATAAGAACAACAACAACAGAGAAATAGGATTGATTTATAAATCATTAAAATGATATAAAACTGTCAACAACAAATTTAACATAAACATACAAACACTTAAAACATTTATTGTATTTTATTAACAGGATAACATTTTATATACAAATATACAAATCGCAAGTGAATTATACTGATAATAATGAGTATAACAGTAGATAGATAAATAAATAGAAATTAAATATGTAAAGTAATTTAGAGAAGAATGGACTCATTTTCATTCTCCTTATATATATATATATATATATATATATATATTCAGTTAGAGATAAGTGTTGATATCAAACACTTATATACACATAAACAATGACATGCAAACAGAATTAATGGACTCAAATCAACTTGTCAAAAATTCAACTATTTTTTGTATATTTACAAAAAGGTAATTGAAAAATGTTGTTTTTGTGTTTTTTTTAGACAGAACATCATTACTCATTATAATGAAAATACATGATTATTTATTTGCAAGAAGTTAGATTAATTATTGTGATAAACTGATGAGCATCTTTCTTTTTTAAGTCAGAAGGGGTTTTGTAAAGATTTTAGTAATTCTATAATTTAACTCATAAAGTTAAGCGTTCGCGTACGAGACTAATAGATCCTGGATTCGGATCTTGCGGAGTGAGATCGTGGATGCGCACTACTAAGGTTTTTCATGGTGGTCTAGCTTCAAGTGACTCATGAATTCAACTATAAAATCTTTTTTGTTTTTGTTTTCTAGTTTGTATGATTATGATCTTAAATATATAAATGAATGTGTTACTAGCGCTGAGAGATTTAGAATTATAATAAAACGTATTGAAGATAATGATGTCATGGTTTGTAAGAGGTTAAATGATTGTTATGTATCAACACACGTCAACAAATTGGATTATTCAGTGACTAACATTTCCAATCTTCCGATTTATTCAATAAATAAATAAATAAATAAATAAAAACTTCATATTTATATAATGTAATTCATTTACTGATACAGTTACTTACAATATTACTGTCGGTACTATTACTATGTGAATTATAATCTTTTTAAATAATAATAGTAATAATAATATGAAATGTCGTGTATGTGATGAAACATATACTTGTTTGTCAAAGTACGTTTGATCTACTAATTCAGTTAATTAAATAATATAATTCTGAATACTTTTCTTAATAAAGAAGAATAAAATTATGAAGACTTTATATGATTGATTTGATTACTCTTTCGATATGACATGATCTAAAATTATGGCTATACACATATTAGTGACTGAAATTAAATGATCACGTATCACTCTGATAGGTCAGATCAAGCGGTCTGAAGAAAACGAAGAAATTTACGAGTAAAATGTCATTTGTAACTGAAAGTATTTGTAACTATATTTCGCATAAAAAAAACAAACAAACAGGTTTTTGAAAATTTTATTATGTAATTGTGGGTAGACGACCATTGAGCGACATTGAAGCGACCATAAGAGTGAACACTTACTGATTAGGACTAAATGAGGGTTATAAACCAGTTAGCATTTTCATTTACAGTTGATGGTTAGGGTTGCAAATTAGATTTAGGGTTTTCATCACAAGCTGACATAAGCTATAATGCCAAAACTCTATTTAGCCAAATGTATGAATGAATTTCACTCAAAAATTCATGACTCATTATGTTATATCTGATTGATTCGTTGATAAATTATAGGCTCACCGAATAACGTTGTTATCAAAGCTTTGTAAGTTAAAGTTGGTCATGTTAACTGTTATTTACAACTTGATCATCCAAATATTCTAGGTTTAAGCAAATTTCTATAAATGCTCCACAATAAAATTGTTCTACTATTGTGGTAACTGAGGTATGAACAAACGTAACTCTATTATTAGTAAACAATAAATAGATACAGAAGCTTGAAACAGAACAAGATTGAAATGGAAGAGGGTATGTATTATTCATAAAAACAATAAGATATTTTATAATCATGTAAATGGGAAAAGTGGTTTCTGCTCCTATTATCTAAGGTTCTTCATACAGTTACAGGATTCCTATGTTAAGTTTATTTTATATGTATCTACAGAGCTAAGAATAGGTAACATGTTAGCGACCATTTAAATCCTCATTTAAATACTTTCAAATATGTCGCATTGTATATATCTGAACAGTTTACTCCAACAGAACTATTAAGAGTAATGCAGTCAAGAAAAAGTAAAAAATCCAGTTTTTCACCTTTTTGTCAAATCAATTTGTTTAATAGTTTGTTTTGAAATTAAACTTTAACATGTTTTCCTCTTTTTTTCCCTACATTTATTCTTCCATCATCGTCGTGATTGTGATTTTAGATAGTCCAATGTCAGATAGCAGCGATGATTTAAGCCGTGAAGATGAAGATTTCAGTTTACTTGGTATGAGTGAATCGAATACAACTGGTTTATCTGAAAATGGTGTAGCATTAAATGGATCCAATTCTCTATCTATTAACAACTCTGCATTAAATCATAATTTATACGGAAATTTTAATCAAAGTCATTTAATCAATACTGGAGGTAGTGGAAGTCTTACTGGAAGTACAAGCAGTAGTGGGACAAGTGTCACTAGTGGTCTTGGTGATGAAGTAGTTCATAGTGTAGTTATATCACGTGGTACTAGTGGATTGAATAGTGGTAGTTGTGGAATTGGTGGTATTGGATCTAGACCATCATCAGGAAAATCCGGTGGAAGTAAACGATCAAAAGATCAAAAAACAACTCGGGTAGGTACAGACAATCTACAAAAAAATACTTAGATTATTTTTTCAGGAATATAATGTTTTAATAATGAATTATAGTAAGATTTGCAAATATTGTTTTTAAAACTTGATATTTTAGCCTATTACTGAATACTTGAATGTAAATCACAAGAAGCAAGCCTGTGATGCAATCGATGAATGCAAGAAAAAAATCTATTCCGTAGTTCATTCATATTAGTTGTTTGAATCTTCCCATTGGTGTTTAAGACTACAACTGATAATTCATTTTTGGTAGCTGTGCATCCTGTGAGGATTGCCTTGATATTGTCATTACGTCACGAGCATTTCAAGCACAAATCGATTAATTACAGCTCTAAACGTTGATAGGAAGATTCAAACAACCCATACAAAAATGAATTACAATCAAAATCATTGCACAAGCCGAATGGATGTGAGGAGCTAGGTGGATAACTCGATGGCTTTTGAAGTTAATGATATTGAATTCGAGTCCCGGAATCAACATCAACTCTGGGGCGCAAGTACGTCAGGTTGACGAGCTAAAAAATAAAATAAGAACGACATCCTGGATCTCACTGCTAACCATCGTCCATCTCTGCCCAAAACACTGCTTAACAATTGTTCATTTTCATTAAAGAAACTGTAGGGAATGAAATGCTGAATGCTTGAATAATTTATTAATTTTGCTAGTCAAAAATATCTCTGTCGTTTCAAGATGTTTTTTATCATTGACTAAAGTTCACAGTAAAACTGTTAAAAAACATAGAAGTCGAGGCTGAAGTTCACAAAGTATTAACAGACGCAGTTTCCGGACTCCCGGTAACATTCGAAGCCATTAAAGAAGCTAGCAAGAAGGATAATACATTGAAGATTGTTCACCGCTGCATACTCAACAAGTGGCCTTCATCTACACTACGTGGCGAGCTCTTACAATATTTTCGTCGACGAGATTCCTTAACAGTTGTCGACTTGTGCATCATGTTTGGCCACCGTATCGTTATCCCTAGAAGTCTTCGGCACCAAGCCATTAAGCAGTTTCACAGCGGGCACCAGGGGATAAGTAAAATGAAATCACTAGCTCGCAGCTATGCATACTGGCCGACAATGGACCGTGATATAGAACAAAAATGTCGCAACTGTTGGTCCTGTCTAGAGGCTGCGAAGAATCCAACGAAAGCAGAACTACAACCATGGCCAAAACCGGACGGGCCTTGGCAAAGAATACACGCTGATTTTGCCGGACCAATACAAGGCAGAAATTACTTAGTTGTTGTCGACGCTTTTACAAAATGGCCAGAAGTATATGATATGCCGAAAACGACATCAGACAGTACAATAAGAAGATTGTCAGGATTGTTTGCCTGTTTTGGGGTTCCAGAGATTTTAGTGACCGATAACGGCACTCAGTTTATGTCATCAGCTTTCAAACGCTTTTGCAGTGAAAATGGCATATCGCATCTACAATCTCCTCCGTACCATCCTCAGTCCAATGGCCAAGCAGAAAGATTCGTGGATACGATAAAAAGAGCTCTGGTAAAGGGGAGAGGTGAGGGTATCCCAGAACAAGTGATCAGTAAGTTTCTAATGTCTTACAGAGTTACCCCCAATCCGGCAGTACCAGAAGGAAAGTCACCAGCCGAGTGTATGTTCGGAAGAAAAATTCGCACAGTCTTCAACAGTATGTTGCCACCTAGAAAGACAATAAAACGGATGAATGAGTATCGTACAATCACTCGTAGCTTCCAGGTGGGTGAAAGGGTACTTGTCAATGCCTATCAAGGTAATAAGAGATGGGAACCAGGTGTCATAGAACGTCGAATCGGAAATGTACTGTACCTAGTCCGGAAGGGTGTCGGAAAATGCATAAGACACATAAATCAAATGCAAAGAGACAGCAGTACAGTGGTCCCAGGAAGCCGGCTCCCATTTCAATTGCTCGTGGATTCACCTCAGAAAAGCCATCATGAGCGCAAACATAGAGGAGGCAAACGACGCAAGGGCAAAGTTGTATAACCCTCGAGAGTGATGGAACGTAAGAGGAATGCGGCCACAAAGTTCCAGGTGGATCCGAGAAAGAAGTCTTACACAACGGACTTTAAAAGAAGGGAGGTGTGACGACGGACCACGGGTGAACTCGAGGAAGCTGTAAGAGGCTCAGAAGGAGCCGAAGATATTCCATCCAATCACCGTTAGGAAGGATATTCTAGAATCCCTACGTGTAGCTTCCCGATTGGACAAGGCTAATAACTCCCTGTATGCGGATTGGAGGACTATAATGATGATTTTTATTCTTACTAAAACTATAAATACCTGACAATTTGTACCCATAATTGACACTGTTTGGAATAACATTCCTTTCACTAGTCTTCTGTCTTCTCTTTGAGACTTGGAAGGGTTTGGACGTTCGTGTGTTCAGTTGTACGCGTTATATCAAGTAAATCAACCATTTCTAGATATAACATGTTTCATCTTGATTGTGAGATTTTTATCGGTACACATCTGTAGATTTACATATGAAGTTCACGTATTATGAATGGAATGAAAACTTGGACTAAAAAATAATTGATACTGATGAATGTATTTCATTCTAGTGCCTTATCAATAAAATTAACTCGTAACGAAAAATAGAATAGAATTTTGAACTTTTAACTCATTATGTATGTATGAATACATGAATGTATACATTTTAAACTCATGATTTAAAGCTCAATTCCTTTGCTACTGTTATCATAATGTAAATATCAAAGATCATCTAGAAATATATTTTCATATTTATAATGAAATAAGTAATCTCAATCGTTGAAATTATGAGTCCATTGGAGCTAGATCACCATGAAAAACCTGGAAGCACTGACGGCCGTTTCGTCCTAATATGCGTATCCGCGACCTGGTTGGAGTTCAACCAGGTCTGTTGTGAGATATCAGCTCACTGAAGACAATGGTTAGACATTAACGCCGTTGATGCCAGCTCAGTGGTCTAGTGGTTAAGCGCGCCAGACTGATAGGTCCTGGGTTCGAATCTCGCGGGAGGAGAGGTCGTGGATGCTCACTGCTGAGGATCCCCATATTAGAACGAAACAGCCGTCCAGTGCTTCCAGGTTTTTCATGGTGATCTAGTTTCAATTGACTCATGATCTCAACTATTGAAATTACTAAAATCTCCACAAAACCCCTTTTGAAAATAAGTAACCGTCGATAATCTTAATTTTCAAATTTACATGTTATACATAAGTTAATGTTGAAAGTTTCTGAAAGATATAATTCAATATAGAATTCTAAGTGAGAGTCAACTGTTTTAGAGAATTAAATTACGGATTATCATGGTTAATTTCTTCAATATTTTGTATATTCTACCTATTGTTTAACAAAATTATGTAGAGTAAATTAATCACAATCATTCAGTAAGTTTTAAATATAACTGAAGATTATACAATCTAGTTATAAATCTAAGTACCCAGAAAATCTTTCATTAAACTCTAGTACAAAAGGCTAACTGATTTGTACTTTGATTTCTTTTTTTTTCGTAAAATAGGTTAGAACTGTACTAAATGAAAAACAATTACATACTTTAAGAACATGTTATGCTGCTAATCCAAGACCAGATGCTTTAATGAAAGAACAATTAGTTGAAATGACAAGTTTAAGTCCACGTGTTATACGTGTTTGGTTTCAAAATAAACGATGTAAGGATAAAAAAAGACAATTATTATTAAAACAAATGGAACAACATCAGCAGGTAATTCAATTATTAAATTTTTTTATTATTTCATTATTTGTTAAACATTATAATTAATATTACGTATGTTATATCACACTCGAATTCATTTGAGGTACTACTAAAAAAACGAAATCTAATAATGAACACTTAACTACTGGAACCACTGATACAATAGTATAATAACAACCTTAGTTAATGTATGATATGAGGTTTTGATTACACATTGTTAAGGAATCTCGTATTAAGACGGGAGAGTTTTTCATTGCCCTCTGGTTTTTAATAGTACTCCAAATGAGATCAATCTTTAACAGATACCATTTACAAATCAAATAGACTTCCAGAAAATCACCCCAAATAAATAATAACTATTAATATTACAAAGTAACTTCAACTATTTGAAGATTCCGCACGTGTTTATCGTTTACGTTGAATCTGAATGAATAATGGGACATTTTGCTAAGGGTTCATCAATAATTAATAGCTATTGAGTCCATTGGTTTAAAATCTTATGGACAGCAGAGTTCTACATTACATAATGAATCTAGTCAATCTGATAACAAAGTTGAGTATTCGTTTTCCACACTTCTGATCTAGTTGTCAGTAAGTTCTTGATAAACATTTTAAAAATTTTTGCTAATTAAAATTTTTATTCTCTTTTCTTTTTCGTTAAAAATAAGATCTAATTCATTTACTGAATATAAGTTTGTTTATGTGTTGTATGGTTAGTCAAAGTAAATATGTTTGAGCACTGAGTGAGAATCAACAAACGCATCACTGTGATTTCTTTACTATTATTGATTTCTACTCTAGACTATAACTGTGTTGAATAAGGTATTGTCTAGTCTTTGCTTTGGCTCTATATTTGGTCATAAATCATCTATCTGGTATAAAGTGATCCATTCTGTGTATTTTGTGACAATCGAGTAACCAGTTTAATGGTAGAATAATCTCAGTCACCTGTCGTATTGTCGTTTAGTAGTAGTATGTTGTGAAAATTAGAAAAGATTCCTGCTCTCCTATTACATCAACATACATATATTTTAAACATGGTTTCTTATGTACTCAAAAGTATGGAAAACAGTAAGTACTGTAGTGTGCAACTCCATCAGAAAACTCAAACTACCTATGGAATAAATTCTGTAGATGTAATGCAAATAAGTTTTCATTTTGACGAATGTTTACCTTGGTGAAATACTGCACTGCTCTCTCATTCATTAAGCATTATTCTCAACCTCTCTCAATAACATTACAGAATGTAAAACTAAGCTAGAAAAGACATTTGATGTTATTATTATTGATTAGTTGGTTGAGTTATTATGTGTAGCTGAGCAACAAAGACGAAACTTATTTGTGTCTCATCGGGATAATTTATTCCAGTGGTAGTTCCAGCAATCTCATCGTGTTGTACACAACCATATAATGTTTGAAATGAACTACAATTAATCTTCATATATTCAAATTAAAAGGAAAGTTATCTTCTGACTGATAACTTCGGTGATAGTGAATTATCCTAGTTTCCTCTTAGTGATTTCTATTTTTTTTAATTTTAATATCAGAGAGATATGTCAATTTTTTAATTATATTGATTGTTTAGAAAGTATTTCTAGTCCGATATATAGAGAAATCGGATGACAAATATATAATGGAAATAAGTAAAACATTTATTGAAAATAAAGAAGTATGACAGATCTATTTAGTTTTAATTTCAAACTTCCTATTTATCAAAAGTGTTAGAGGAATGATCTAATATTGATTTTTTAGTCATTTAGATTTATAATAGGTAACCTATGTAAATTTAATGAAATGGTTTTTTAATTTTTCTCCTAAAAGCAAAGAGTTGATGAAAAAGTGGAATTTGTGGAGATTCCAAAATCTCCACAGGTTAAAGCATAAACTTATCTCAGCTCGGCTATCATCGGAAGTTTAGAAGCACTGGACGGCCACTTCGTTCTAGTATGGGACTCATCAGCTGTGAGCATTTATGACCCCACAAGTGGCAATTAGATCCAGGACCTTCGGTATTGCGCACGAACTAATGACTTTTAGACCACTGAACTGGAATTCGACCGTGTTTGCGTCTAAATTCACCCAATTCATAAATCCGTTATCTCGGTAATTATCCTGTGCTCATCAGTGGCCAGGTTTAAGATATTGATTCTGAGGTTCTATTGGGAAGCTATGACAGTTGAAGTTCAATTGGTCTCGGGTGCGAGACAATAGATGAAGGTCACTTTATCGTAAATTGGTTTAACTTAGTTATTAAAACCATTGAATTCCTATTGGTAGTTGACTTTTGACACTTGGAGTTATCTTAAATAATCTAAATCCCTATTAGTTTTACTTTAAATTATTCCGGATCACTTTAAATGATTTCTTGAAGACTTGTGTGATTTGTAAGTTGTATTTATCACAGAGTGAACTCATTTGGGATGCCATTGAAAACTAGAGAACACTGGATAGTTGTTTCCTACTGTTATGGAACTTTACTGCGATGTAGGATGGAACCTAGAACCTTTAGTTCTCTCAGCGATTACTTAATTATTAGAATCTTGGAGTCTGTATTTACTGATTTTACTATTCGTTTGATAAGATATCTATTCAAGTTGCATAAAGTTAACTACTGAATCTAGAATAACAAAAAAACAACAGATATTCACCTGTGAAGAACACTGAAATGTAGAAAATAAAAAAAGATTGATGGAGATTGCTTATTTCCAAGTTAAAACGATGAAAGGTGTGGTTTGATTGAATTCTGCTTTATTTAAAATGTGTATAGTAATGAAAAAAAGTTCAATGTAGGAAAATTTAATTCTTATACTTGTTCCTTTCCAATTATTCTTCAACTGATTTCAGTCTATCATGAAAATTAACTTTCTAGATATATTTTTTCTTTATACTTCATTCTAAATCAACCTCTATCATGCGCCCCTCCTCCATCTCAATTTACCCCTATCCCTTACAAATTTTTAAAATTCACTTTATCATTTTATGAAAAGTAAATTAATAGAAAATAGTCAAGTAGGTTTACAAGTAAATGATAAGTGGAAGTAATTGATTTTATTGAGTTTTATGATTTAGATTATGCAATTAAATAAGGCATATTGTTAATTATAATAACCATCTAGGTTACAAATGATCAGAAGGAAAATATAATTTATACGATAAGTATATACTGGATATGGGTAGATAGAATATTTCAAGTAAAGAAATAAATTTATTCTCACTTATACTCATTTAAATAAATTATATAAGTAATGATATTAGAATCTGATTTAATCTGCCCTTATTTCAACTGTTCATGTATATATATATATATATATATATATATATATATATATATATATATATATATATATGCATTAAAAGAGTGGATATATTTTTAATATTAAACGTGACTACTTGAGCTATTATAATGTTAATTGAGTTAAAATATTTATAGTAAATTAGTTTGATAAATTATAGAAAATTCATGATGTAGCAAGAATAAGAGAAGGGAAACAAAATTTGTAGTGAATACATCTTTTTTATATCATCAGAAGTGGTAGTTTAGTGATTAAAAGTATTTAACTGTTACTTCAGCTGTTTCACGGTTTTGTTGAAGTTAGACATTGACACCATTGAATGACGGCCGGCTTAGTGGTCTAGATGTTAGGCGTTAGAGTGTGAGACCAGAAGTACTGGGTTCGAATCCCATGTGCGGGGTCGTTGATACTCGCTGCTAAGGAGTCTAACATTGGGACGAAACCTCTATTGATTCATGATCTCAATCAAAAACCTAACAATCTCCACAACCTCATACTGATATTTCACTTTAGTTTGTCAGGCTGTAGTTTATCTCACTACACCACATTCATAGAAAATACTCATTAAAGCTGATCATATGAACTTGTGTTAAATTATTAAGTTGTATTAATATCATAGATAAACATTTATTTGTAAAATTATAATTGGTCATTTTACAGTGTATACAATTTGATTTCCTACCTCCCTATATATTCTAAATGTTGAACAGTGTTTATCAGTCACGGTGTACAATATCACATCTAAATCATAATCTATTTGACATGATTAAGTTATTTAGTAACAAGTTTACATTACTTTAATACTAATATTTACGTATCACTATTGTTAAACTCAAGGATGTTAGATATGTACCTTTGATTATTTAGTCAATGAATTAATTAGGCGTTAGACTTAATTATTTTGGATTTTATGTTATAAGTATTAGAAAGACAATGTTGTTGAACATTTTCTTCAACGGAACATAATTCAAATGACTATTTATTTTGTTGAATCGGATTAATTTTTGATTAACCGATTACTTAGCCCGTTGATATTGATTACAAAATAGCACTTTCTAGTTCTGTATACTACTAATACCAATTATAATACTACTATTACTACTATGGTTTCAGCCTGGAGCCTTCAGGGGCTACTATCAGTCCCAAGCCCAGATAAAGGAGAAGGGTTGAGCATGAAGCTAGAGACCCCATCTCGTAGAACACTAACTCACTAAAAATATGCTGATCAGGAAAAATAATTCAGAACATTTAAACTCTGCCATGAGAGTTAGAAGAGTTATGATGCCTCCTGGTGAAAGCCGAGTTCTTTCTGAAGTCACGAGGCTGATGCCTGTACTGACAAGCAGAGCAACCTTTAATTTAGGTATATGGAATGTTCGTACAATGTGGAAGACCGGGAAAGTCATCCAAGTTGCTGCAGAAATGAACAGTATAAAGTGATAATAGTGGTTGATCATTTTATCATTTGATACATTCATTTAATTTTTTTCAATGGTGTCATTTTTATTATTTTTTTATTTGTCATGATGACTGTGATATAGTGTTTTTTTCCATGGTAGTAAGAACATAAATCTTTCTTTAAATATGAGTGAATTGTTTATTATAATCGGAAGTTAGTTAGAGAACCATTGTAAAATATCCCATCTGAGTTACTTTCTTCTGGTTTGAAACTATTCATATATGTCTGTATTTAAGTGTACGTGGAATAATTATCTC